TTCTTTGGTTTTCAGAACTTCTAGTTTGGTATTTAATTAGGGATTTTTAATTTGCTCTTTTTCTTTCTTTTTTAGTTGCATGCCCAATCTATTGATCTCTTCTGTCTCTATTTTAGTTATGAAAGCATTTAGAGACGTAAAACTTCCCTTAAGAACTGCTTTTGCTGCATCCCAAAAGTTTTGGTATGTTGTCTCATTATTGTCATTCTCTTGTATGAAGTTATTTATTGTCTCTGTTATTTGTTGTTTGACCCACTCATTCTTTAAGATTAGATTATTTAGTTTCCAATTAATTTTTAATCCATCTTTCCATGGCCCTTTATTACATGTAATTTTTTTTTTGCATCATGATCTGAAAAGAATGCATTTAATATTTCTGCCTTTCTGCATTGGATTGTGAGGTTTTTTATGCCCTAATATGTGGTCAAATTTTGTACTGTGTACTGTTGAGGAAAAGGTATATTTCTTTCTATCCCCATTCAGTTATCTTCAGAGGCAAACCATATCTAACTTTTCTAAAATTCAATTCATCTCCTTAACTTTTCTATTGTTTATTTTGTGATTAGATATATCTGGTTCTGAGAGGTAGAGATTAAGGTCCCCCACTAGCAGAGTTTTATTGTCTGCTTTTTCCTATAACTCCCTTAACTTCTTCTCTAAAAATTTTGATACTATACCACTTGCTGCATATATGTTTAGTAATGATATTACTTCATTGTCTATGGTACTTTTTAGCAGGATGTAGTTTCCTTCCTTAACTCTTTTAATTAGATCTATTTTTGCTTTTGCTTTGTCTGAGGTCAGGATTGCTACCCCTGCTTTTTTTTTTTTACTTCAGCTGAAACACAACATATTCTTCTCTAGACTTTTACCTTTACTCTGTGTGTATTCCTCTTCAAATGTGTTTCTTGTAAATAACACATTGTGGGATTATGGTTCTTAATCCACTCTGCTATATGCTTCTATTTTATGAGAAAGTTCATCCCATTCACATTCACAGTTATGATTACTATCTGTGTCTTTCTCTTCATCCTGTCTTTGCCCCATGTTTATGCTTTTCTCTCTCCTTTCTCCCTTTCCCTCCTCAGTAGAGTTTTCCTTTCAATCATGGCCCTCCCTTAGTCTGCTCCCCTTCCTTCCCTTTTACCCTAACTATTTCTTCCTTTACTTCTATCCTCTCCCTTTTCTTTCTTCTACCAACTTCTACTTCTTATAGGGTAAGTTAGACTTCTATACCTAATTCCTTATGTTATTCTCTATTTGTGCCAAATCCAGTGAGAGTAAGGTTCAAAGAATTTTGATCTCTCTCCCTTCTTTCCCTCTATTGTAATAGGTTTTTGTGCTTTTTCCTGTGATGTAATTTACCCTTGTCTGCCTCCATTCTCCCAGAACAATGTCTTTTCACCACTTAATTAGATTTATTTTCCAGGTCAGTTTTTTTTTTTTAACCAATGAGGTATTTTACAATTTCTCCCTTTTTTCATTCTTTTGTTTCTGTTTGACTAATTCTTGATATCTCATAGAGTAGTTAACTTCCACTTGCCCAATTCTAATTTTTAATTAATTGTTTTCTTTTATTAGATTTTGTACCTACTTTTCCATTTGGCCAATTGTATTTTTTAAGGACTTGTTTTCTACAGTCAATTTTTGTCCTTCCTCTTCCATGCTATTGACTCTCTCTTGCATACTTGTCATTTCTTTTTTTTTTTCATTTTTTCTTCTACCTCTCTTATTTGAGTTTTAAAATCCTCCTTGAGCCCTTCCAAGAAGAATTTTTTTGGTCTGGAGACCAGTTCATATTCCCCTTTGAGGTTTTGGATGTGGGTATATTGACAATGTTGTCCTCTTCTGAATTTGTGCCTTGATCTTCCCTTTCTCTGTAATAAGAATACTTGGCCTTTGTTCATTTCTGCTTTTTGTTCATGGTGTTCACCTATTTTCTGTCTTTTAATATTGAGTTCTCCTGCTGGAGTGCAGGGGGCGCTGATCCAAGCTTCTTGTGCTGGATTCCTGAGACCTGGTCACTGGCTTTGTGCGCTGGGGCCTCCAGTGCTGGCAGCTGGAGGCTGTAGGGGTCGGGCAGCTTACCTGATACTGAGTTGAGGGCAGCAACACTGGAGCTGTCAGGGTGAGGGGGGGGAGTCTGGCCTATGGAGGATGTCTGCTCCCCAAGGCTTACTTTAAATCATTCAAATCTTTGGCTGCTAGAGGATCTGCACCACCTGGGGTTGTGCTGAAGCACCAGGAGATTTGGAGACTACAGAATGCTGGCAAATGTGGTGGTTTTCTGAGCTGGTGTCTACTGGTTCCCCTGCCTGTACTGAGGCACTTGGTGGGAGGCATTCCTGGTGTTGGCACTTGTCTGCTCCACCATCCTGGGGCTCAGGATCTCCCCCAGGTTTGCTGAGGTAGGGCTTGCTGCTGGCTTGCTTTGATGCCTCCTATCCTGTACTTCTCCTCCCCCAGAGTGAGAGGAGCCTTTCCCATTAATCCCCCAAGCTTTCTGGGCTACAAGACTACTGCACTCTATCTTTCTGCTGGCTCAGCTATTCCAGGCTTTTTCTTGAGATGATATTTTCTGGGCTTTCAGAAGTCAATAAGAGAGAGTGAGAGCAACTTACTTCTTACTCTGCCATCTTGGCTCCGAGAAATTCTGCCCTTTTACTAATTTTTACTATTCATATCCCCAGTAATCTTCATTTCACAGAATATTTTTTCCTTTTTCTGTCTCTCTCTCTTTTCTATTTGAGAGTCTAGTTATGAAATATGAATGATATGACAGTGCTCATCATAAGAGAGAGCTTTCCTACTAATAGGCTGATGGTTGGGCTCCCTTCTCAAAGTGAGAAAGAGTCACTGTCTCCCTAGCACTGACAGGGGTGTCTACTGCCCACTCCTGCCACACTTGTAATAACTGAGAAATACAATAAGCCTGATTTCTGTTTAAAAAATGACAAGATTTAAAAATATATATACAATGGGAACCTTGTAGGAAAACAATAACAATAATAACAACAACAGTAACAAGTAATTCAAAGCACAAGATCCAATGATTTTGATACCTCAAAGGCAGGGAATCACTTCTACCTTGGTGCCCTCACCTCTCATATCAATACTTGGACAAGCCTCAGGGTGACATTAGCGGCATGGCCACCAGATGGTAGTGTGGGACTGCTCTTTGGGCTTCACTAGCCCCCAACAGTCATTCCACACTCAGTGCTTAACCCACCATTCGTGGCAGCCCCTGCACCAGGCTCAGGGGGACGTCTGACAGTGGGTCACCAGGTGACAGTGTGGGACTGGGTTGGCTCCCAAGACCCTGCTATTTTGTGATTGGGCTGTATGATGGCCCAGCAGCTGCTTCACTACCTTTCTGAGTCCCTCCCACGTGGTGGAGTCACAACCTTTTCATTTTTCGGCATCCCCTCCTCCTCTCAAAGTCTTTCCTTCTGTGTTGCCCCAAACTAGGGGCCATGACTGGGGTGGGAGACAATGAGCAGATTTTCATGAAGGAATGTCAGATGGATAAAAGACATGAAACTTGTGTCTCCACCATGGCCTGAACTCCTCTTCTGCTCAGCCTCCTCATTCTCTGCCAAGGCACCAGTCTGAGGAGTCTGAGAAAGGGGGTACTCAAGGCCTAGAGGGGCTGTTTCTCCTCTCCCTCCTAGGTAAGGAGGGCAGAGAGAGAGCGGGTCCCTGGCCCCTGACTCACAACTCACTTTCTCTCTGTCTTTCCGGGTGCTTGGGCCCAGTTTGTGCTGATTCAGCCAGCATCCATATCAGGTACTCTAGGTCAGTCAGTCACAGTCTCCTGCACTAGATGCAGTTGTAGAAGCTAGCTCACTCCAAACTGGGCAGATTACCTATATCATGACACTGGGGCTGGAAACCCATGCTACCTGGAATGCTCAGGACTAGCAGCTACCGTGGTATTCCATGGACTCCCAACTAGTGACCTAAGGATGACTCAGAATCACTCTCTTCCCTCTTCTCTCAACTACATTTATTCAAAGTACTGGAATTGCTCATTAAGCCTCCAGTGATTTCAGTGCATCCCAAGAGTTTGTGAATATGTCCCCACTGAGGCAGAGAACTTGAGGCAGCTCCCAGGCTGGCCTTTGCATAAGGAAAAACTCTTTGGTAAAAGTTGGACTAGGCAATGGCCATCTCTAAGCTGCTATGATCCTGAGCATGGTAAGAGAGGAGCTTTATGGCCATATCCAAAGCTAGGACCTAGGGAGTGATTACTCTGGATTGTGGGTACATGAACCCAGGCACACATGATCTCTTCCTCAAAGAACATGGTGGACACTGTGGCCATGAGTGGTCAGTTCTCAGTGAAGCTCTCTGAACTGAAAGTGTTTGGTATTGTCTGTTCATGTTGAGTCCTATCTGATACAGCCAGATCCAGGATGCCCTACCAGAGCCTTCTACATGGAGTAGTAACATGGGCCAGACTCAGAGTCCCTGTAGCCCTGTTCTTATGCAGAAGCACACACAAGTACCCCAAGGTGACAAGAGGTCACTAAGCCTCCAAAGTTTCACCCATCCCGTGAGCTCTACTGGGAAATGATAGGGAGATGTTAAAGCATGTTATTCCACTTCTGTTTTTCCCTTGGATGCAGAGACACAGCTGGAGAAGCCCCAGGCAAGGAAAGTCTCCAGAGTACCTGATGATTCCAAATGTCTCTGTGGCTGAGGTGGAGGGGAAAAAGAAGCAGTTTCTTCCATATCTAACTATGAGGGCATTGAGAGACATAGTGGTGTTGAATATCCAGAGGATATTATAAATTGTTATAAATACAGCCTTTGGTCTTACATCATTGTCCTTGTCCTGGACAAGGTCCAGACTTGTGTTCATTTGTGTTTCCTCAGTTATTGATGGAGGACTCAGCCTGACATCAGCAATATTTCAGTTGCTGGACAGCTCCCCATCAGTCAATGACTCAAGCAGTTGACTTTTCTGTGATACAGGCAGCTTCTTTGTTCCTCCCTGGATGCTTTGTACCCTGGTCTTGCCACTGCTTTTACAGCTTCTTGCTTCAGTGTGCAGGAGTGAGAAAACCCTCTGCTTTTCGAAAATCAACCCCAGCATCAGCAGAGATGGGGACCTGGTGATTGGAAGCTTTCTCCCTCTGTATTCAATAAAACTGAGTAATTTTGCAAGAGCAGAAGTTTTTACAAGTCAGCCCAACAAGGACTGCAGGAGTTATCAGTAAGTACCTCTCTGTATGAGGGAGTTAATTTTAATTGAGCTGACTTCCCAAAACTTTCTTCTCTTTAAAGAAATGGCAAACAGGGAAGCCCCAGTTGCTATGCCCGATGATACTCCCACTGCCTCCTCCCTTGTGCAACTTTTGTTTTTGCAAATCAATTTTCATTTCTCTGATTGTCTTACAAAGCTGAAGATAGATAACATTCTTTCTCTCTGTCTCTATCTTTCTCTGTTTTTTTTTTTGGTAATATCATCATCTCTTTTGTTTCTGTTTGTTTCTCTCTAGCTTTGTTTCTTTCTGTCTCTATGTATCTTTTCTCTTTAACTCTGTCTTTCTGTATCTGTCTCTCTGTCTTTCTCTACTGCACTTCTTCCTTAACAATGGGTCTTGCCCCTGAGAAGCTCCAGAGATAAGAGTTACTAGGATTCACTATAATTTATTCCTCCACCTCCAATACTCTGACCCTCAGTGTCCATACTGACCCTATAAATCCAGGTCTTTGTGCTCCAAACTAGAGAACCCAACCATAGCTGGATAGATTTCAACTAAGAACCAGGGGATCATTAGGGTTGCATTTCTTTGGAAGACAGAAGTATGTTTGGGCTCCAGCTAGAGTAAACATGAATCCAGGGATATAAAGCACTGATGAGGAAATGCCTAGCAGGACTAGAGATGTATAGAGTGCTCTGATCTCCCCTTGACTGATGTGTGAGCGTTAGGTGCTTGTTTCTCAAGTGAGGTTCTGCTGAACTCAGAGCAGGAGACCTTACTTCCAGAATTTTATTAGACTAAATGAACATTGTTCTCATTGCCAGACTGACACTGGAATGTTGTCTGGGCTCTATTCCTGTTGCATCCTGAGGAGTAAATACAGCAGGAATCCTTTGTCTAGCAGTGCAGCCTCAAATGTAAATATCTGTGAGTCTGCACATCATGAGAGAGGCAGAGGGAGGGAAAGGAGGTGGTGGGGTTCAGACTGTTACATACACACACATATACACACACAAACATATGCATATTTCTCCTACACAATATTTCTTTCTAAGGAGATTCACTGTAAGGTAGATGAGGAGTTAGAGGGTAGTGCAGGGGTAGGATTACAGGAGATGGATTATGGAAATTGCAAATGGTTCTTGTTAGGTGGGCATTCTAACTTCTCTAGATCTCTGTCTGCCTGCACGTTTCTTGTGTCTCTCTGTCTTTCTCTAACTATCGAGGTACCTTTGTGTTTCTCAATTTCACTTTATGCCCTTCTTTCCCCTCCTCCTCAATTACATCTTTTAACTGTCTAACATAAGGAAACACATTCTGCTACTTAGAGTCAAAAAGATCTGATTTAAATCTTCTCTCAGACATTTACCTGGTTTGTGATGCAGGGCAAAACACCCAACATCTCTGTGCCTCTCTATGGATAACAACGTCACACACTTCCCAGGGTTCTTGTGAGGATCAAGTCAGATCATGCATATAAAACACTTTAAAAACCTTAAAGCACTACATGAATGCAAGCTCTTATATTCTTAATTACTTTTATTTCTTGAATGCTTCAGTATGTTTAGTGTCCTTTTATTCTCCTTCATTATTTTCAACCTGAAAGGGTTGATAATGGTTGGCTTTAGAGGGAGAAAATATTCCTGGCCTCTGTGCAGTTTTAGACCAAAAGGCTGCTGTGAATCAAATTCCCTTATCTCTGTGTTGCCTTTGATCAATTATGCTTTTGAGCCATGGTCCAAGATGGAGACAAAAAAGTTCATTCTCCAGTGCCTCATTCTAATTGCAGAGAATATGAGTGATCTGGAAAGAAACCAACCAATTCATCTCACATTTATTAAGCACTGCCTTGTGCCAGGTCCTGTGCTACATTTTGGGGATATGAGGCTGTGTGGTAGTCCCTGTCCTAAAGGATGTACAGTCTATTGGAGACAAGAACATATTCATATGTGAATATGAATATGATATAACCAAAATGAATACCAGAAGTGGAGAACACTAGCTGTAGAGAGGGCCAAAAAAGGCTTTGTAAGGGGTATGCCTTTGGGCTTGGGGGGACAGCTGATTAAAAAAAAGACATGGAAAGAATGGACACAGCATCTCAAATTCTCAGAGACCTGGCAGGCAACTTTTCACATGGGAAAAAGAGGTGCTTGTGGCAGGTAAAATGAGTCTGGACATGAACAAAAGGGTGAAGGGGCAGATTGGGGGATTCTTTTCTCAGCTACTGCCTCCCAGAAAGCTGTTCTGATTTTCCTTAAGTAGAGAGCTTACAGAGAAACATTTCAAAATTGTAAAATTTTTGGAGTATATTGACATGAATAGGAGAGCTCTTTGCTGAGGATTTTCTGGTTAAAGACTGGTTAAAAGTGGTAATTTTTAGGTGACTTTGATTTCTGCTCTTCTCCAATTAAAGATAATAGCAAACAGAAAGCAGTGGAGAGAAAGGAATGGAGGCCTCAATTAGTTTCTAGTCTTGAAATGAAGATGCATTGGGAAGGCCTGACTGGAAATGCTGTGTGTACAAATTTGTTAGGCCCAGGGTCACACAGCTAGTAAGAGTTTGGGACTGGATTCCAGCTCAGGTCTTCCTGACTCCTGGCCAGTAGTACCACTGTGCCACCTAGCCACCTGTTTCCTTATACCCATTCTATGAGCGCCTTGAGAGCAGGAAAGAAAGAAACAATCATTTATTTAGTGTGTATTATGTTTCAGGTGTTGTCCTTTATACTTTCCAAATATTACATTTAATCCCCACAATAGCCCTGGGAGCTAGGAGCAATTATTAACTCCCTTTTACAGATGAGGAAACTGAGGCAGACTGAGGTTTAAGCTACTTGCCCAAAGTCTGAGGTGGAATTTAAACTCAGAGCCCAGGCCCATCAATCTATTCATTCAGAGAGTCTCCAGGATTTTTTCCATCTTTACTTTGAATTCCTTGTGCCTACTGCCACCCTTTACATGTGCTAGGTGTTTCATAAATGCTTGCTGACTGGCTAAAGCCTGTCTTTCAAGAGTTATGACAAAAGTCAGGAAGTCTTTTCTAATGACTTTACTTCAAAGTGAACTTCCCCCTACTCATCATTTCTACATTTTTCTCTATTCTGTATGTGCACATATCCCATATTACCTTGTATTAAAGGCACGTGGGCATTTCTTGCCTCCCTTACTGTATCATAGAGCCCTTTGTGAACAAAGACCATCTGCATCACTGATATTATTTAGTACATCATATTGGCTCAATATTTATTAGTGGCATAAAGGCATGTGTCTGGTAGGCACATACAAATTAAGAGCTGAAAACAAATGGCCAGAAGCATCATAGGAATCATGTGAGAGGAGTAGTAGAGGAATGAGGGAGCCTGTTATTAATAATCAACTTCGGGCAGAAAAGTGCAAGAATGGATAGAAAGGCCTCAAGTCAGGAAGACTTGTGTTAAATTCACTTTCAGACACTTGCTGGCTGTGTGACCCTGGACAAATCAGTTGACCTCTGTTTTCCTCAGTTTTCCATTTGTGAAATGGGGATAATAATAGCTCACATCTCCCAGGGCTGTTGTGAGAATCACATGAGATAGTCATTGTAAGTTGCTGAGCACAGTGCTTGCCAACATATAAAAATTAGTTGCTATTATTATTGTTGCTGCTGCTGTTGTTGCTGTTGTTAATGTAAACGCAAAATGACCTGGAGCGCTTCGTTTTGACCATCACATAACTGAGAAAGCTTTCCTTCTGAAATGAATTTTCTCTTGAGGCTTTGTTAGTGGTCTCTGGTTCTCTCCCCTTCAGGTGGCTGCACAAAAACTACCAGCAGGCCATGACTGTAAGGTTTGCTGTGGAGGAGATCAACAGGGACCCTGTTCTCTTGCCCAACATTTCTCTGGGATTCCAGGTGTACAAGGCCTACCACAGTGAGGAGAGGACCTTGGAGAGCTCCCTGCGGTGGTTGACAGGAGGGGGTCAGCTAGTCCCTAACTTCAGCTGCAGAGGGCAGGACAAGTCTGTGGATGTCATTGGAGGAGCCACATCAGCTCTGTCTGTCCAGATGGGGACCCTGCTGGAGCTCTACAAGCATCCACAGGTAGGTGATATTGGGCCTCCTACCTTCTAAACTTTCATCAGGCCACTCCAGTTTAGGAGCTAGTGGATGGACCTCTCATTGACTTATATCCAAATTGTACACAAAGAATAGAATGAGAGTTACTTAACCCTATGGCAGGTTGAGGTGGGGAAGGACTAAGCATTTAGAGAATGCCTAAATTGTGACTATTCATCAGAAAATCTGTGGCCATTGGGGCTGTCATGTAGAAATCCAAAATCATTCAGAGGTCAAATCTTTAAGCAAATAAATCCCCTAATTAGTCCATATGGAATAGGTCCATAGCACTTGGAACCTGTAGAATTCTGAAGATTAGCACCCTCCAGCCAAACATGACCTCTTGATACATAACTCTGGCTTTTAAGGTAATCTGATGGGCTGTGCATGAAAATTGTATCTCCTTCCAAACCAATTACTCTTTTACAAATATTTGATTAGGGTCACTCGGATTTTTGGCAATTATGTTGTTATCTCATTGGAAAACATAAAAATGTCAGCTAAGCTTTTCGGTGAAGATGATATCAGAATTCTGGATTGTAGGTTCCACTGATGGTCCAGAACACATGACAATACCATCAACATAGCTCAGTGAGCTATACAGCCTCACTGAAGAGTATAGCCAAGAATTTGAAATGTTTTTCCTAGAATAATTTGAAACATAACCTTATGCAGACTCAGACACCACTGGCCTTCCCACCCCTGAATCCAGCTCTATAATACATTCAGTTCTTGTGGTGGTATCTCCAGAAAGCCACATGCTAAAGTTTTCTCAAAACACAGGTGGTCAATCCATAATTTCAGGGAATTAAAATTTCAGGGAAGCAGTCCTGAGGAAAATCATGTCCCTGGGCCCGACAGGGGTCCACATGTCTATGAACCAATCCCACCACAGTGAAACAATATTCCAGCTTGAGATAACTTTGAATGATTTCAGAAAAAAAGGTCTGTCTCACTTGGGTAAAAGGAGAGCACAGTGCCACACACATGGTGTCCAGACCAGCTGCCAGGTGGTTCTTAGCCACAACATAAATCAACAATGGAGGCCCCTTGGTCCTGGCTCAACAGGCCAGTAGTGAGGCTTCCAGCTCAATGATAAAGGCAAAGTGTGAGCTCTGGAACCCCTGCACAACAGATGCAAGTAGGCCAGGTCACTCCCCGCACAGTGGACAAACCACAGGGACCTGAGGCCTTGGCAGGGAAAGCCAGTGACCAGGCCCCTGGCTCTCAGCATATAAAGCTTGGGATAGTGCCTCTGTGTAGTAGCGACCATATATTAGGGCATAAAACTTCACAATCCAATGCACAAAGGTAGAAATATTAAATGCATCCATTTCAGTTCATGATGCAATAAAAATTACATGTAATAAAGTACCATGGAAAGATGGACTAAAAATTAATTGGAAACTAAATAATTTAATCCTAAAGAATGAGTTGGTCAAACAACAAACATAGAAATAATCAGTAACTTCACTCAAGACAGTGACAATGATGAAACAACATACCAAAACATATGGGATGCAATGAAAGTGGTTCTTAGGGGAAGTTTTATATCTCTCAATGCTTACATGAGTAAAATAGAGAAAGAGGAGATCAATGAATTGGGCATACAATTTAAAAAGGTATAAAAAGAACAATTTGAAAATCCTTAATTAAATGGCAAACTAGAAATACTGAAAACCAAAGGAGAGATTAATCAAATTGAAATTAAGAAAATTATTGAGCTAATAAACAAAACTGAGAGCTGATTTTATGGAAAAAACCAACAAAATAGATAAACTTTTGGTTAATTTGATTCAAAAAAAGAAAGAAGAAAACCAAATTACCAGTATCAAAAATGAAAAGGGTAAATTCACCATCAATGAAGAGGAAATTAAAACAATAGTTAGGAGCTATTTTGCCCAACTGTATGCCAATAAATTTGACAATTTTAGTGAAATGGATGAATATTTACAAAAATATAAACTGCCCAGATTAACAGAAGAGGAAGCAAAATACTTAAATAACCCCATCTCAGAAAAAGAAATTGAACAAACAATCAATGAACTCCCTAATAAATGATCTACAGGGCCAGATGGATTTACAAGTGAATTCTACCAAACATTTAAAGAACAATTGATTCCAAAACCACATAAACTATTTGGAAAAATAGGCAAATAAAGAGTCCTACAAAACTTCTTATATGACACAAATATGGTGCTGATACCTAAACCAAGAAAAGCCAAAACAGAAAAAAAAATGGACCAATTAATTTTGATGCAAAAATAATAAAATATAAGCAGAAAGATTATAACAACTTATCACAAGGATAATATACTTTAACTAGGTGGGATTTATACCAGGAGTGCAGGGCTGGTTCAATATTAGGAAAACTATCAGCATAATTGACCATATCAATAGCAAAAGTAACAGAAATCATATAATTATCTCACTAGATGCAGATAAAGCTTTCAACAAAATACAGCTCCCATTCCTATTAAAAACACTAGAGAACATAAGAATAAATGGTGTTTTCCTTAAAATATTGCATCTATCTAAAACCATGAGCAAACATTATATGTAATGAGGATGTGCTAGAAGCATTTCCAATAAAATCAAGGGTGAAACAAGTATGTCCATTATCACCACTGTTATTAAATATTGCACTAGAAATATTAGCTCTAGCAATAAGAAAAGAAAAAGAAATGCAAGGAAATAGAATAGGCAATGAAGAAACAAAGCTATCATTCTTTGCAGATGATATGATGGCGTACTTAGAGAATACTAGAGAATCAACTGAAAAACTACTTGAAACAACAAATTTAGCAAAGTTGTAGGGTATAAAATAAATCCACACAAATTATCAGTATTTCTTTAAATTACCAACAAAGCCCAGAAACAAGAGATAAAAAGAGAAATTCCATTTAAAATAACTGCAGACAATATAAAATATTTAGCATTTTTTCTGCCAAGATAAACCCAAGAACTACATGAACATAATTACAGAACACTTCACACAATAAAGTCAGATGTAAACAATTGGAAAAATATCAATTACTCATGGGTAGGCTGAGCTAATATAATTTTAAAAATGACAATTCTACCCTAATTAATTTACTTACTCGGTGCCATACCAATCAAACCGCCAAAAATCATTTTATAGAACTAGAAAAAATAAAAATAAAATTCATCTGGAAGAAGAAAATGTCAAGAATATCAAGGGAATTAATGGGGAAAATGGCCTAGACATACCAGGTATAAAACTATATGACAGAGAGGCAAACATTGAAACTATTTAGTACTGTCTAAGAAATAGAGAGGCGGCTCAGTAGAATAGGTTAGGTACAGAAGACATAGTAGAAAATAACTATAGTAATCTACAGGCTGATAAAACCAAATACTCCAGCTTCTGGGATAAAAGCTCACTATTTGATAAAAACTGCCAGGAAAACTGGAAAATACGATCACAGAAATAAGGTATAGTCAACAACTCATACACTATACTCAGATAAGGCCAAAACAGGTACATGATTTGGACATAAAGGATGATATTAAAGCAAATTAGGAGAGTGAGGAATAGTTTACCTCTCAGATATGAGAATGGAAGAATTTATGACCAAACAAAAGACTGAGAATATTATGAAATGCAAAATGGACAATTTTGATTGCATTAAATGAAAAAGGTTTCCTACAAACAAAACCAATGCAACCAAGATTAGAAGGAAAGCAGAAAGCTGAGAAACACTTTTTTCCAGCCAGTGTTTCTGATAAAGGCCTCATTTATAAGTTGTACAGAGAACTGAGTCAAATTTGTAAGAACACAAAACATTTCCCAATTGATAAATGGTCAAACTATATGAACAGGCAGTTTAAAGAGGAAGAAAATAAATTTATCTATAATCATATGAGAAAATGCTCTAAATCACTATTGATTAGAGAAAAGCAAAGTAAAACAATTCTGCAGTACCACATCACACTTATCAAAATGGCTAATGTAACAGAAAAGGAAAAAGATAAATGTTGAATAAGATGTGAGAAAATTGGAACATCAATGCATTGTTGGTGGAGTTGTGAACTGATCCAAACCATTCTGGAGAGCAGTTTGGAACTATGTCCAAAGGGCTATAAAACTGTGCATACCCTTCCACCCAGCAATACTTCTACTAGATCTATATCCCAAAGAGATCTTAATAAAGGGATAAAATTCCCACATATACAAAAATATTTATAGCAGCTTTTTTTTTGTGGTGGCAAATAATTGGAAATTAAGGGGATGCCCATCAGTTGGGGAATGACTGAACAAGTTATGGGATGAATGTAAGATAACACTATTGTGCTGTAAGAACTGATGAGCAGACAAATTTCAGAAAAACCTGAACTTATATAAACTGATGCTGAGTGAAGTGAGCAGAATCAGGAGAACATTGTACAAAGCAACAACATTGTGCAATGATTAACTGTGATAGACTCAGCTCTTCTCAGTAATACAATGATTCAAGACAATTACAACAGACTTGTGGTGGAAAATGCTAACCACATCCAGACAAAGAACTATGGAGTCTGAATGCAGATTGAAGCATACAAAATTCACTTTTTCTTTGTTATTTTTTGGGTGGTTTTTTTGTGGTTTTTCACTTTATTCTAATTCTTCTTTCACACATGTCTAATGTGGAAACATGTTTAACATGATTGTATGTATATACTTATATCGGATTGCTTGCTGTCTTGGGCAGGTGGGAGGAGAACAAGGCAGGGAGGGGAAAATTTTGGAACTCAAAATTTTACAACATTGAATGCTGAGAACTATATATATATAAGTGTAAAAAATAAGATACTATTAAGGAAAAAAATTAAAAAATAAAATTTTTGCATAAAAAAAAATCTGCTATAACAGTCAGTGTATTCTAAAAACCACAGCATTTGTCCATATAGAGAAAGGACTACTTTTTGAGAGTGTGTAATTTCCCACAATTCTATCATTACCAGCCCATTCATAGAATTTAACATTTCCCATGTTTTTCCTATTGTCCAGCTCAACTTTGGCCCTTTTGATCCCATCCTGAATGACAAGGCCCAATTTCCTTCTCTCTACCAGATGGCTCCCAGAGACTCCTCCTTGCCTCGAGGTATGGTCTGGCTATTGGTACATTTTAAATGGACCTGGGTAGTTCTGGTGACCACAGATGATCTCAGAGGTGAGGAATTCCTTTGAGAAGTGACAGGGGAGATGGCAAAGCATGGTGTCTGTGCATCCTTGACAGAGAAGATTCCTGTCAGTGAAAGATCACATGAAGAATCACAGATGTATTTTATCCCTAGGATTGTTGGATCTTCAGCTAGGGCAGTTGTCATCCATGGTGATACAGACTCATTAATGGTTCTCAGATTTTCGCTAATGCCAATTGTTCCAACACCTAAGATATGGATCACCACTTCTCACTGGGACATCACCATGAGACACTACTATTTTGAGAGCTATGCTTTTAGTGGAGCTCTCACATTTACATACATGACCAGTGAGGTTCCTGGTTTTAAGTCTTTTCTCAGGACAGTGAACCCTAATAAAGATCCAGAGGACATCATACTTAGTGAGTTCTGGTTATCAGCTTTCCAGTGCAAGGAGGATTATGAAAAGCAAGAACTACAGCAGTGTGCCCCAAATGCTACATTGGAGGCTTTGCCTATATTCCTTTTTGAGATGACTAGGTTTGGCCTGAGTTACACCATCTACAATGCAGTGTATGCTGTGGCTTGGGCTTCTGATGAAAACAGAGATTGCATCTGAGGAAGCTGGAGAAAGCTGGGTGCTTCATCCTTGGGAGGTAAGTTTCCTTTAGGAACTGGTCTTGTCATTTGCTGATTCTTAATGTTTTAATCACAGAAGTTGCAGTAGGGCCTTCGCTCAAAGAATTTCTGAGCTTGACAAGTAATCTAACCAAGGCAGCATAGAGCAGAGCTAACACAAAACTCAAAATACGGGAATTATGTCTTTCTCCATTCATCCTATGTTAGTTTTACCTTAGGGGACTTTCTGGTCCCATTGTTAACATGTATTGCACTTTAGTCACCTAAAATGGTGGATTTTACTTTCAGATGCACTATTACTTTACTGTTTAAAATTGCCTCATACATCTCATCCTTGGGTGCATGTTTTTTTGAAACCACGAAATACTTTTCATCTCAATTATACTTTATTTCACTAATCCTAACCCCAATTTCTCCCTTTCATTTCTAGGATCAAATTGAAATCCACTGTTTTGCGTTCAAAGACCTTCAACATGTGGCTCACTCCATAATTTTCCAGGCTTCTTACATCTCCAATCTCACTCTCATGTACTAGGAGGTTGAGTGACACTGGCCTCCTCGCAGTTCCTCATACAAAACACTCCATCTCCCTACTGCAAACGTGTTCATTGGCTGTCCTGCACGTCTGATATTTGCTCTCTCTTTTTCATCAGCTGTCTTCTCTGGCTTCCATCAAGTCCATACTAAGAGTCTACTTTCTATGGGAAGCTGTTCCTTAACCCTCATAATATTACTGACTTTCTTCCTCTGATTATTTCCATTTCCTCCTTTTTATTTTATTCTACATAGTTGTTTACATGCTGTCTCCCCACCCACCACTCCACACACACACACACACACACACACACACACACACACACACACACACACACACACACTGTGAGCTCCTTGAGGGATAGGACTATATTTCTCTTTGTTAGCAGAGTTTCTGGCACATACTAAGTGCTTAATCAATGTCTGTTGACTCTTGGCACACTGACTGATTTGAACCATCTTCTAACCTTCTAGAAGTTTTTTGGGTTTTGTCTCAATTATGCCAAAATTGGGTGTCACCAGTATTCTGTCCTCAGCTTTCCTCTCTTCTCTCCAATAATACTTCACTTGGTGATCACAATAAATCACATGGTTTCAATGATCATCTCTATCCTGATGATTCTTGCATATTCTTAGCCTGCCCTAACCTCTCTGTCCCATGTGAAATTTATCAAAAAAGTAAAGGGAGGGAATTCTCTGTGCAGGATAATAGTTTATAAATAGGTCTCCAAACCTATTAATAAAGAATGGGTTAAGTAGCATTGCCTCTGGCCAAAAAGACACTGAATTTAAGATCCAAGGCATTTTTATATGAAGAAAGGAAAGAACAGACAAATATGTAATTGATTATGGGATGAGCAACATCACAGGGTCGCAAAATCATAATAGGCTACATAAAAGAAAGTGGGAATCGCCTACATACTGGATGAAGATCACACGTCTCTATCTCCAAGGAATGACTTTGTGAATCTATGGGAAGCAGCTGCATCCTGAGGTCACTGATAGGGACCAGTGTATATAGACAAACTGGTTCCTAGGGGCTTAGTTAAGACATCTTTTTAAAAGATGGTACAAGGTCTGTTAGTTAAGCTTCTCAAGGACACACATCTTGCAGAAAATGTAGAGATAATATTTTACGATAATATTGAGAACAGAGCTTTTCCATAACTAACTTTGATTGTGGAAAAACTTAATCCATTTGTATCTAACTTCATGGGAAGAGAAGGCTGAACTTTTGCAAACACAAACTTCTACATTAGTGATAGAAAAGAAGCTTCAGGTTGGTTACATAGAATATGGAATCTGGTTGCAGAACAAAATCACTTAACAGAGCAAAATAAAATATAAAATATATATCAAGAATTAATTCTCTCATCTCTGTTGACCTCCAGTTTTGCCTTTTCATCTGTTTTTTTACATCTTAAATGGGATGTCCTATAAGCACCTTAAGCTCCATATGACCAAAACTGAACTTAGCATCATTCCCCCCGAAGAATTCCTCTTTCCAAACTGCATCCCCAAGGTGTTGTTCAAACTATTTCGCTGAACACTCTTAGTCTACTGGGATGCATTCTTTAAAAAAATACATGTTAGGACTTTCACTTCTGGAAGCCAAGATGGTGGAGTGAAAAGGTAGTTGCTCTCACTCTCCCCTATCAACCTCTGAAAACCCGGAAAATATCACCCCAGAAAAAAAACCTTGGAACACCTGAACTAGAAGAAAGACAGGGAGCAGCAGTGAAGCAGCCCCCGCAAACGGGTCTCCCAGTGCCTCAGCAAAAACAAGGGAGGCAGAACTACAAGGGGCCCCAGGCGGATAAGTATCCTGTGGCATTCATCTGAAAAGAGGTGAAGTAAACAAGCTAAAGGCTTCCTAAAGCCCCGGCCTTGCTGATTCCAAACCAACAACAGGTGAGCTATCGGAGCCCTGCAGCCTCCAATTGTGAAGAAATCCTGAAGCCCAGGTAGTAGAGCAGGCAAACACCAACACCTGGACCTCTGAGTGCCTCAGTGGGGGGAGGGGGAACCGGTGGAAACCAGCTCAGAAAACCACCAGGTGCCTCGGCACTCCACCGCAAAGGAATCTCTCAGTGCATAAACACCCTGCAGCACCCATTTAAAAGGAGCTGAAGAAAGCTAAAGGAAAGGAAAAGCAGGCAACCTAGAATTGCCTGAAAGTTCCAGCCTTGCTGATCCCAGCCCAACACGAGGTAAGCTACCAGAAACCTACAGCCTCCAATTGCCAGCATAAGAGGCCCCAGCACACAAAGCCAGTGACTGAGACCTAGGCTCCCAACACAAGAAGCTTGGGTCAGTGGTCTCTCTTCCCCAGCAGGAGAGCTCAATCTCTTTAAAGGCCAGGGAATAAAGAAACACCATTAGTAAAAAGAAACGTAACATAGATTCATATTATAAGAAGAGTGAAGATCAAGACAGAAATTCTGAAGAGGACAACATTGTCAACAAACCCACATCTGCAACAACAATAGGGAACATGAACTGGTCTGAAGCCCAAAAAGCCTTCTTAGAAGAGCTCAAGAAGGATTTTAATAGTCAAATGAGAGAGGTAGAAGAGTCCTTCAAAAATACAATTGGCCAATTGGAAAAAAAATACACTGAAGAAATCAAGTCCCTAAAAAACACAATTGGCCAATTGAAGAAGGAAGGACAAAATCTAACAGAAGAGTATACTGAAGGAAACAAGTCCCTAAAAAACACAATTGGCCAGTTGAAGAAGGAAGTACAAAAACTAACAGAAGAAAACGATCTGTTAAAAACTAGAATTGGACAAATGGAAACTAATGTTTCTATGAGAGAGCAAGAATCAGTCAAACAGAAACAAAAAAATGAAAAAAATAGATGAAAATGTAAAATATCTCATCAGTAAAACAATCGACCTGGAAAATCGACTCAGGAGAGACAATTTAAAAATTATTGGACTACCTGAAAATCATGATGAAAAAAAGAGCCTGGACAGTATCTTTCAGGAAATCATAAAGGAAAACTGCACTGAAGTCCTAGAACTAGAAGGAAAAATAACCATAGAAAGAATCCACTGATCACCACCTGAAAGAGATCCCAAATTGACAATGACAAGGAATATAATAGCAAAATTCCAAAATTACCAGATGAAAGAGAAGGTGCTGCAAGCAGCCAGAAAGAAACAATTTAAATATCATGGAATCACAATCAGAATTACACAGGACCTTGCAGCTTCTACATTAAAAGACCACAGGGCGTGGAACATGATATTCCATAAGGCAAAGGAGCTTGGAATACAGCCAAGGATCAATTACCCAGCAAAAATGAGCATCATTTTTCAAGGGAGGAGGTGGATATTCAAAGAAATAGGAGACTTCCAAACTTTCTTTATAAAAAGACCAGAGCTCAACAAAAAATTTGACCTTCAAGTACAGGACTCAAGAAGGACTTAAAAAGGTAAATGGGACAGAAGGATACAATATGTTGTTAATAAGGGGTGGGGGGCTGTTTAAACCCCTACAAGGGAATATGAGACTTGCAACCCTTGAGAACTGTATTGTTATTACACCTTGTTAAAGGAGTATACATAAAGAGGGTGTATATTAGTGGATCAATCTGATCTAGAAATGTACTGAGAAAGGAGGAGGCAGACAAGGGTAAATTACATGACAGGAAAAGACACAAAGTCCTGTTACAGCAGAGGGAAAGAAGGGGTGAGGAGCATTGTTTGAACCTTACTCTCATCAGATTTGGCTCAAGAAGGGTATAATATAATCAGTTAGGCATAGAAATCTTACTTGCCTTATAGGCAGTAGGAGGGAAAAGGGGAAAGAAAAGGGAGGGGGGGGAAAGAAGGGAGGGAAGAAGCAGTAAGACTAAAAAAATACATGTTATGTCCACGCACATAGTGAACACAAATCAAAGGACAATGGTAGTGAGGCACACATGTGTCTAAGGCAACTCTGACTTTCAGAAGTGAGTGTCTTTGATGTTCTTTCCTCATAAAGGCCTCCCAAAGCTCTGTGACATATGTGGTAAATGAATCAATTAATAGACAGTGCCTGATGTTTCCCCAAGATAATTTTGGTTCTGTTGGCTAGATCATGCTGTTGGACTCTCTTGGGCTTGCTCCTTGATCCCAGCTGAATTCTTCACCATCTCCATCTCCAGTCTCAGTTGCACTCCTTTGCTGAGTAACTGATGGCTTCTTTTTAAAAGAGCACAGACTTCTGGACTTGGACTGGCAGAAGCCTTCTGAGTTCTGCTCCCTTGGGACCTCAGTGCTGAGACTTGCCAGCTCCCAGGCCTTTCACTTTGACAACTCTTCCAACAGCAAGACTGGGCCTCCTGAGGGAGAGATCTCGCCTTTACTAACAATGACCATCCAATTAATTTTCCAAATCCTCATCTCTGCAGGCTAGGCCATAAATAGACAATGACAATTTGCCCAATAATCTGTGGTTTTCAGTGTTGCCCATTTAGGAAAAAATTCTAATGTTCTCCTGTTGGTCTATATGATTGAATGGCTGGGAAAAAAGGAAAAAGTCAGTCTATGCTCAAGAGCCAAGTTTGTTTTTCTCTACTGGACTTTTCATATGCAAATGGAAAGACTCAAAGTCTCTCATTCTCCAAAAATCAATCATTTAACAATTGTATGATTTGTTAGGTGCTTTCTTTGTGCCAGGCTTTTTACTAGACACTGGGAAAATGAATACAAAGAATTAAACAGTCCATACTTTTAAATCACTAAGTCAATCCACATTTATGAAGCATTTCCTGTATGCCACACAGTGCATTCAGTGCAAGGGATATAGAGAAAGGGAACAAAGTGTTCCTGTCTTCAAGGACCTTAACTTCTAATGTGGAACAGAACAAATATGTACATTAATACATATAGTTTTCATTTTTGAAAATGGTACACTGAGACAAACCTCCAAGCAAAACAATATCTACTAGCTGGTGCATTCTGCCTGTCCATAAATGGATTAATGGCTTGCCTTTATTTATACCAAAGACCCCAAACAAGAGAATAATTTTCATTATATAGGTTTTGAAGAGTACAGAACAAAAATAGAACTGGATAGATGATATCATGAGAGTGAAGCAACATGACTGCTTAAAGAGCTGAGGCACAAAGAACCACATAATTAGCTGAAAATTTTGTAATGGGGCAAACAATGACCCTCTACTTCTCTCATAAAATGAATAATTGCTAATTGTTTGAATGTAGGTTCAAGATAGTGGCCCAGACTTTTGACAGCAAACCATTCATTCTTGAAGGATAGCCTTGCTGTGTAAAGAAATGCCCAATTCCCTTGCTTTCATACACATTCCCCAAGGCCAGTTAAATTCCTTGAGGAAAAAAGAGTTGGATTTTAAAAACTAACCCATCATTGTCCCCCTGAACTCTGAACTAAATTCAGAGGAAAAAAAACTGGGATTTAAGCAGTTACACAACAATAGTAGTTACAGAACAAAATCAATTACTTGTTAACGGAATAAAGGATGCAAGAGCATTCTTATTAGTATATATTTTCATCCTAAACATAAAGTACATAAATACAAACATGACATTTATAATAGCTTATTTTAAGCTTCTCAAAAACATAAAAACCTCTCTGGGTAACATTCTTCCCTTTTGTTGCTAAAGGGAGTTTGTACCAAACTGAAACTTAAGATTACTATGGGGGCAGCTAGGTGGTTCAATGGATAGAGCTCTGGCCTTGGAGTCAGGAGGACCTGAGTTCAAATCCAGCCTCAGACATTTAACACTTACTAGCTGTGTGACCCTGGGCAAATCACTTAGCCCCAATTGCCTCACCAAAAAGCCAAAAAAAAAAAAAAGATTACTATGAAGATCACTCTGAAGACATTGTTAGGAAAAGTTTTGACATTTGGGCAGAGGTTGAGTTCTCTGATATAATTTATATTTATATTAATCACTAACTGATCCATGGCATAACTGGCAAGCAAAATTCAAGTTATCAGAAATATTTGGGTAAGGAAACACAAAAGTATACTACAAGGCCTGTGAGTAAACAAGAAGCAGAAGGAAAAGTTGGAGAAAGAGAAAACCCTTTCTTTGAATTTTTCTCAGTCCTTGAAAAGATGGCTACATGTAGTAACGTCAACCAGACTCTTCTGCAGATGACCTTCCTCTATTTATCTCTTTGCTGCCTCATCTCAGTCCTACTTTCCTATTTATCCTTTTGCTTTGTGCTGCTCTCCTGCCAGGGCTTTGTGGCTCAGATTTTGATGTATGTACTCCTTTCTTTCTCATTCCAGACCTCAAAGTATCCCAGTTCCAACTGGTTCAATGATTTTATACAGGTTGCAGATGGTGTAACCATATCCCTTAGTCAATCCAAAGAGTCTATTTGACTTTGACCCTGATTTTGGGTGGAGAGCATAGCTAATGCGAGCTTTGGAAAGAAATAACTAAATTAACAAAAAGAATTTACTGAATTAGAAAAAAAAATAACAAACTTCATTTGGAAGAACAAGAAGAAGAAAGGAACTAATGAAAAGTATTTAAAGGAGGGAGATTTAGCAGTACCAGATCTTAAATTGTATTATATGGCAGTAATTATCAAAACTATGTGATAATAGATGAGAAATGGAAGCATAGATAAATGTTTCTATTTTTTGTTAGGTGACATACAATTTATAACAGTAAATAAATATAGTAGTCTTGTATTTGACAAGTGTAAAAATTTAAGATTTCAAGAAAATAATTCATTATTTGGTAAAAAAAAAAATTACTGGAAAAACTGAAAGCAGTATGGCATAAATTGAACATAGCCCAATATCGTACACCAAGATAAGGTCAAAATGGGTACAAGACCTAGATATGAAGATAAATATTACAAGAAAAATCAAAGAACATGGAACATATTACTCATCAGACATACATAAGAGAATAATATGTGAATAAATAAGAGATGGTGAACAAATTGAGGTGTAAAATGGATAATTTCAATTGCATTAAATTAAACAGTTTTGGTACAAATAAAACAAATGTAGCCAAGATCAGAAGGAAAGCAGAAAACTGGGAAACACTTACAGGCAGTTTATCAGATAAATATCTCATATATAAAATATATAAAGAACTTTGTCAAATCTCTAAGAATATGAGTAATTCCCCAATTGATAGATGCTCAAAGAGCTTAGAAAAACATGGATAGATTTACACAATATAATGAAGAGTGAAATGAAGAAAACTAAAACAAGGTTGTATATAGCAACAGCAATATTGTTTTAGGAACATTAAGTGAATATTTCATTTTGTCTAGTATAAATACCCAAATTAAGTACAAAGGACATGAGAAGAAAGAAAATGTCTTCATCCAGAAAAAGAACTGACAAAGTATATATAGCATGATTTTACATATAGATGTGTGTATACATACATACATACACACACATATACATCCATATTTTTTGTTTAATGGTAGCCATCTTCTGGGCAAGGGGGAGAAAAGAAAAAAAAGGCAAAAAAATTTACATGATAACTTTATTATATATTTAAAAGGAGTAACAAGTTATACATATTAGATTTGTAGTTTTGTACGCAATCATATTTTTATGATACTGTTATAGACATGCTTGTTTTACTCCATAAACTAAAGATAAAATAAATATTTTTTTACAAAAAAGAAAGAAATGAGGGTAAGAGGGAATAAGGTTCATAGCGAAGATGAACAACAGATCTAGGAGTACTCAGACACTGGGAAACATAGAATGATAAAAGTTTGGAATAAAGAAAAAAATAAATAAGGATAACAGAATGCTTCAGTTGGTGAACATGCAAGTGGAACACTTGTAAGTAATCATAACATCAAGGAACAAACCATTTCTGTGTGTAGCTGAGGATGAGACAATGGCAAGTGAATAAATTAAGAGGCATTAAAGGATGTATGAGGCTATCTGAAATTCTATTTCATTCCTCCTAATATGAAAAAAAAGATAAAGATTTCAATCACTGAGCTTTTTCCTTATGAAGAAAGAGAATGTTCTGGGGTCAGGAGATGACAACCAGCAAGATTTGGATTGGTTTATAAATGTGGATATTATGAAGGTATAAGTAAAAGTTGCTTAATGAAGAGGATTGAGAGAAGATCTTGGAATGGAAATGTGGAGTATTCTGACTTCTACACCATAAGTAAATCAGGAGATATAAGAGAAAGTGTAGTCAGAACTGGAAAAGATAACAAAAGAATCAGTTTTTTTCAGGTTAGATCCTCATCTCAGTGAAGGCTAGAAGATGAAATGAATCAGAAAATAGCAAGCTTAAGATGAAAAGAAGTTTGTTAATTATGATACAGGCATTCCACAGGGCACAATGAGAATTTATATTAGACAGCTGCTGTTCAGAGACCCTTCAACTCTCAAATTTTATAGGCACTGAGGACAAGGGAGAGGCAGCAGGATCCAGAACAACTTACTATTCAACTTGATTATTTATAATTGGTGACTAAATTGGTGCACTGCCTTGTTCCTTTTGAATAAAGTATCCCTTCCAAAAACACATTGTAGCCTTGAGCCTAATCCCACTAAGTTCATGGCATGTCTGAAAACAATTCCTTCCTAGGCAGACAGATTCCCTTACAAGAAACAAATTTCCTTTTCTAACTGTGTTGACCCCTTTTAGGTTTCACAATAAATAAGAAAAAAATAATGCTGACAACTAACAATAGCTGTCATTTTCATAGTCCCTTAAAATATACAATACACTTTGGTACATTTTATTAGATTTTTTTTTTACCTGATTTTAAGGAGCAAGGCTGAGAGAGGATAAGTAATTTGCCCAAAGACACAGAGAGAGTAACTGGGTGAGGCAGAATTCAAGCTCACATGTATCACCACTTCAAACAGGGGCACAAATCTCAGTTGGCCAGCCCCAGCATATCTGGCAGAGCGCACAGGTCTTACTTCTGGGAGCACCCTGACCACGAACACCAAGAAATGACAGATTTCTCTTCCCTTTCAACTCCACTCCTTTCTGAAGGACCTTCAATTTAAAAACAGTGCTGGTGATGAGGTGTTTATGAATGAGAAAAGAAGCTCTGAGGCTCAATATGACATCAAGAATTATATGTACCTTCCTAATGATACCGAACTCCTGGTGAAAGTGGGTGAATTTATCCCCAAGGCTCCATCTGGCCAAGATTTCACAATACATGAGGAAGCCATCAACTGGGGATGGTTAGGTCCAGAGGTCAGAGATATATCAACTTACATGATCAGTCAAAAGAACACATCTCACTCTAAGGCACACATAAATATGTATAGAAAATATTACTCCACTTCTTTTTTTGTTTTTTGCCTTTAAAACAAACTTTTAGGTAAATAAGAGGAAAGAAAGCAATAAAGTATGTGTTTCAAAATATAGCAATATTTAGCCTCATAGGGCAGAAGAGGAAAGGTCTTTCAAGATAAACTTGTATATCTCTTTATTTGACAGATAAGAAAACTAACATTGCTCTTATCCACTTCCCTGCATCTTCATGAATGGTGATGAAACTTCCATTCAGTTCAATTGAGTTAAAATAAAATTTCATTCAGCTACTGCCCAAAATTTTCTTTCTGTTGAAAGGAAAATTAGTGTAACCTACATTTTGCCAAGTTGGCTAAATATCTAAATGTCCTCTAATAGTCTGTGTCTCCATAGCACTCTAGTTCTTATAAATTTCTAAAAATTCTCATCCCAATGATTCTCAAAAAGATGAGTCAGTGTCTCTAGTTCAATTCTACAATCTCCCTACTGGGACTCCAGAGGTAATTTGGAGGGGTCATGGTGATGTCTTCACTATGAGTTGCTTCAAGTTCCAATTTTTGGATGTTTTCCCCAATATAAATCACCAGGGATCAATATTATAGTATTGTTTGACTTATTGACATCAGTTAGTTTTACAAAAGTATATTACAAAATGAAAAGTAGAAACATTTCTCCCTACCCAACACTTTAGAACATGCTGTCTCCTATACCAGCTGCATATATATATATATATATATATATATATATATATATATATATAAAATATGTGTGTATACACACATACATACATACACATATGTGTATATACACATGTGTATATACACAGTGTATATGTTACATGTATTTTTATGTCCTAAACTTAAAATAGTTGTAAAAGAATTTATTCCACCAAGAAAATTCTAAATTCAGCTTCACTACTGGACAAACCATTGCTTCTTATACTGTTAGACTTGGGTCTTGCTTCTCAGGGCTGTGTTGGCTTCATCTCTGGTAAAAAAAAAAAATGCTGATGTAGATGCTTCTCACTGAATTTGTGATGACTCACTCTCCCAACCTTGTAAACTCACACTTCCCAAGATTTCTTCAACTAAAAGCAAGACAGAAGAAATACAAAGAGGCAGAATATAGGGGCTTGTGGTTGCTGACCACATGTTGGCTTTGGCTGGTGAGGGCCCAAAATCTCTAACCACCAAGGGCTTTACAGCATGTCTCTCACTCAGACAGGTTAAAAAAAAGCCCATGCCAATTACTGTTTTTGGAATGCATTCCCAGTTCTGGCTCTGCAGCCAATCAAATAGCCCCTCATTTTCACAAAACAATGGGATTGCAAATTTTGAAAATGTAAGGGGATGCTTGTAATGGAAAACAAAACCTCATTACAAAATAGTACCCATTTTTGGAAGCAAGTAGCCCAGCCTCTTCCACATGGACTGCCCACAGACAAAGCACCGTACTTTTCCTCTTAAGTCCCATTGACCAGGTTCTTATTATGTAAGTCAACTCAGGTACATCCTACAAGCTTATGCTCTTTCCATATTACAATATTGAATGTAATTTTGGATGATTGCCAACCTTTCATTCTGCAACTTGGGGTATTAGCAATGCAATGATCCACAGTGTATTAGTAATACAAGATGTAAGTGTTCTAAGATCATACGGCCCAAAGCTCTCATTTTACAAGTGATAAAATTCAAGCCCCCAGACATCAAGAGTTTCAGCAAGAGTCCCACAGCTGGTAACAGAGATAGGACTAGAAAGAAGATCTCTTGATGTCCACTGACACTTAAGTCAGGTAGAATCATCAGAGTGGTATTAGATGATACACTTTCTTGGCCTGCACCATCCTTCACAAACATCTTTTTAGTAAATGGTATTCTTTCTATTCCCTGTCGATGACTTAGATCCCCCAATCTGTGTGCAGTGACAGCTGTCACCCTGGATACAGGAAGACAACTAAGGAGGGAGAACCTGTCTGCTGCTTCAGCTGTTCCCGGTGCCCAGAGGGGGAGATTTCCAATGAAATAGGTGAATGTCTACGGGGGCTTCTTTTCTGAGACCTTTGTGCAGAACAGTGTGGAGTTGAGCTTTTGGAGTCATATACAACCCAAAGTAATATCACTGCTCAAGTAGTAGGATATGAACTGCAGAGTTTGGTTGTTGTCCTTTGTTCTAGAAGAGGACCAAAATGACATCACTATGTTAGAGTCAAGTTACAATATAACCGACTGTGCCTGATCAGACCAATATAAGCTCAGAATGCTCTACCATAGGTCGGGCACAAATAGTTCCTGTGAACATTTAGGGTGGATTCTCTAAACTTATGCACCTTGTGTTTCTTTTGACCTACTCCTATTCTGCTTTGCTCATAGAGCACAGCACCTTCTATGATAAGGGCACATCATGCTGAGAGGTCCTGTTCCAGTGTCTCCCACGCCACTGAAATGGTTCTAAAGTTCTTTGCAGAGACCTTGAGACTGTCCTTGTATTTCTTCTTCTGACCACCATATAAGTACTTGTCTTGTGTGGGTCCTCTTTGTAATAGTGTTTTAGGCAAGTATATGTTTGGCAGTTCAACAATATGGCCAGCCCATTGGGATTGCACTCTCTGCAGTAAAATTTGAAGGCAAAGAGTGAAGAAGTTTAGCTAAAGAAAGGGCTTCAGTGTCTAGTAACTTGGTATGCCTTGAGATCATCAGAATCTTCCTAAGAATTCAAATGGAAGCGATTCAGTTTCCTGGCTTGACACTTGTATACTATCAAGGTTTCACAGTTTCACGCTGAGGTCATCACAACATTCTGTAGGTTTTCAGTTTGGTAGGCAGTCTCATAATTCTCTCCCATACTTTCCTTTGGAGCCTCTCAAAAACTCAGCTAGCTCTGGAAATGTGTGTATCAAACTCATTATCAAAGTGTGCGTCCTTATAAAGTATATTGCCAAGGTAAGTGAATTTGTCCACTACATTCAAAGCTTCTCCCCTTACTGTGTATGATGGGTCCACATATGGATGTTGTAGTGCTGGCTGGTGGAGCAGCTGTGTTTTCTTGGTGTTAATTGTTAAGCCAAAATTAGCACAAGCAATAGAGAATTGATCCATACCTAGTTGTGTCTCAGCTTCAGAGGATGCATTGAGTGCACAATCATCTATAATCAAAAAATTATGCACCAATTGCCCCTCTACTTCATTCTTGGCTTGTTGCCTTTGCAAGTTAAATAATTTACTATCAGTTTGGTAGCTGACCTTAATGCCATGTTTGTATTCATTGAAGGTATTTGACAACATTGCTGAAAACATCATACTAAAAATCACTGGAGAGAGCACACGGTTTGTTTTGCTCCATTGGTGACCAAGAAAGCATAAGAGCATCATTCATTATCCAGAACCCATACAAGCCTGCTGTAATGAAATTAATGATCAATACTGATGAACTTGTCCTGGCAATCAAATTTTGACATGATTTCCCATAAACCTTTGGAACTGAAAGTATCAAAGGCCTTGATTAGATCAATGAATATTGTGCACAAGACCTCTGTCCTGTTCCTGGCAATTCTCCTGAAGGTGTTAGGCAGTAAACATCATACTGACTATTCTTTGGCCCTTTCTGAAGTGAAACTGGCTCTCAGGTAGATGACTATCTTCCAGGTAAAGGATCAGCCTGTTAAGGAGGACTCTGGCAAGAATCTTGCCAGTAATGACCAATAGAGAGAATCCCTCATCCTCCCCAGGCCCATGATTTTCGTAAGACAATCTATATTTTTTATCTTTATAGAGATGGACAGTGGAAGCATCTTTGAACTTCTGGGGGATAACTTTTGCTAGCCATATAATACAGAAAATTTCAGTCAGATTTTGTACGAGCAATGGCCCCCTCACCTTGTAAATCTAAGCTGGAAAAGAATCAGCAGCAAGTGTTTTGCCGCAGGAGAGGGTCCTAATGGTATTCAAAACCTCTTCTTCAGGTAAATATTTGGCTAGAGAGGGATTGACTTCAACCTGAGGTAAATGGTGAATGGCTTCAGCATTAATGAATGAAAATCTGTTGATATATGTCAATGTTGAGCCCATCTCTCCAGGATGATGTCCTCACTAATCAATGTGGCTCCAGCAGCACTGAGTAGTTGAGAAGCACCAAAGGTTTTGACCAATAAATAACATTTAGGACATCATAAAAGTGGTTTGAATTATTCTTATTAGTAAAACTGAATTTCATCTGTGGTTTTACTGAACCAAGAATACTACATCTCTCTAAGCTTCACTTATACGTTACTTTTGATGGCGGTAAATGCTGCCTTCTTACAGATGGATGAACTGTGCTGCTGGTAAACCCTGTGAAGTTTTCAATTTTCCTTCAGCAGCCTCTAAATTTCTCCATCGTCTTTGCCCAACCATTCTTGATATGTGTGAATGTTCTGACATACATGAGTAAATGTAGTGCCATACATTCAATCCTTGAAAGCTGCCCCCCCTTTTTTTTTTACAAATGCATTTTTGCCAATCCTGTTTTGGCTCAGCTTTCACTCCACTTTAGCAAGGAACTGTTCCCACTCAAAGAAGCACTCTAATCCTTTGACATTAAGTCCTCTGGTAGATGTCTTGCCTTGGGGACACTGTTTTTGTTAAATGTGAATATTTACCTGGAGCGGATAAGTCTAAGATCAGTCTAGCACTCTGCCCCACACATTGCCTTTGTCACTCTCATATCTTGCCTGCCTCTTCTCCTTACAATCACAGGTCTATTCAATGTCAAATGTTTGCTGTGAGGATTCACCCAAGAAGTTTTATTGCATTTAGGTAAAATGGAAGTCAGTGTTGGAGATAAGAAGGTCATCAGGTCTTCAGTAGTAAGTGGCCATTGCTACTGCTCTTTTCAACACCATTCCTTCCAAGGACTGCCTGTTATATCTGGTAGTCTGTACCTACTTTTGCATTAAAATCACCCAGAATTGTCCTCTTTTGACACATTGATGATGAGTCTCTCTAGGTCTTCAAAAAAAATTCTTTTTGCCCTCATCAGAGTTCATCACAGCAGAAACATAGGCAGTGATGATGGTGGCATGGCACTTTCCTGCAAGTAACAATTGTGTTGTTATGAGCCTGGAGGTCACTCCTTTTGGTAGGCATACAAGACAGTTAACTAGATTTGTTTTGACTGCAAATATTAGGCCAGCTTCATGGTGCTCCCATTCACTGCAGCCAATCCATAAAAAATGTGTATTAACCTCCAAGTTCAGTGAGCTGGCATTCATTTGTCACCCTTTTTCTACGCGGGGCTGCTATTTGGATGCCATACCTGCAACAAGTGCTATTCATCATTCAGGTCTTCTGGACTTCATGTTGTCTATAAGTGTGTACACATTCTGTGTACCTATGGTGAGTGGAATGATCTTTCAGAAGTTTTTGTACTTTTTTGTATTTTGACACAAAAGGGATTCCTATCTGCTGAAAAAAATAAAGCTAGGGTTGGGTAAAGCAGACAAATTTTAGGACATTTTCCCTAGCCTTTTCTTCATATCGGAAGGCAAGCAGGGCACCCCTTAAAAGGCTTCTCAGACACTCAGGGGGCAGCCAAATCCTTCTGCTGCTTCCACTGAGAAGAACAAATACCCTATGGCCTGGGCAACCTGGGTGCAAAGCTGTGAATATAGCACCCAGTGTATCCACACCTTCTATTCAGCACTTGTCTGTCATCACAGGACTTTGACAGAGGTCAAAGTGGCAAAGATGGCAAGAGTTTAACAATTTCATTAAAGAGAATGACAGAAGGCAGAGTCAAGATGGTGGAGTAAAGGCAGGAACTCACCTAAGCTTACCCCCAAACTCCTCCAACAAATTTCCATCCCAAGACAACTTGAAAAGTTGGCAGGAAAGGTCTCTTCTACCAGATTGAGAGAGGAGTGCAGTCTAGACAGGCCAAGCCATCATAGAGCAAGCCCCAGCAAACCTGAAGCAGACCTCAAGGCAACTGGATCAATGGCAACAGCAATGGTTTCCAGACACCAAAGACAACTTAGGTCAGCAGAAAAGGTTCATCACACCTGGGTGACAGTGGAACATAGACCAGTGCAGTCTAAGCCTGCACACGCTGGCCCAGGAAAATTAGGAGCAGGCCTTGGGAATCACTGAATCATCATCACCACCACCACCAGCAACTGCTGCTGCTTCCAGAGCTCTCAACCCACAGATGGGTAAGGGGGTCGAACAACTGGTCAGAAGATTACAGGCATCTTTTTGCTGATACTGAGGCAGAACTCTCTTGCTTTGCCCATACACAGATCCCAGTCACAGTCCTAGGTGGCAATCCCAGGGTGAGGAGGAACCCTAACATAACTGAGCTTGTAGCCATAGAGGAGGGAGAACCCTCCTCACAGTTCCAGGGCAGAAAAGAGTGCTTGTCATCACTCATAGACCAGAGCACAGGCCAAGAGAGTAGTAACACCTCTCCTGAGATGATATCACCTTGGAAAAACTGAAAAGTTACAAGTCCCAGAAGAATCTCTGAAAACAGAGGCACAAAACCCCTGAAGCTTGAGACAGTGCACCCTCCACCCTGGAAGCAGATCCCTACTGTAACAAAGAGTTAAAAGTCAAGTAATAATCTGTGAAAATGAGCAAACAATGGGAAAAAAACCTCTTACTATAGAGTTACTATGGTGATAAGGAAGATAAACACATACTCAGAAGAAGACAACAAAGTCAAAACTCCTATACCCACAGTCTCCAAGAAAAACGTGAGTTGTCTCAGGCCATTGAAGAGCTCAAAAGAGATTTTGAAAATCAAGTAAAAGAAGTGGAGGAAAAATTGGGAAGAGAAATGAGAATGATGCAAGATAATCCTGAAAAATGAGTCAACAGCTTGGTAAAGGAGACACAAAAAATACTGAAGAAAATAACACATTTAAAGAGACTAAGCCAAATGGTAAAAGAGGCCCAAAAAGCAAATGAGGAGAAGAATGTTTGAAAATCAGAATCGGCCAAATGGAAAAGAAGGTCCAAAAGCTCACTGAAGAAAATAATTCCTTAAAATTTAGAATGAAGCAAATGGAAGCTTATGAATTCATGAGAAATCAAGAAACAATAAAAAAAACCCAAAAGAATGAAAAAATAGAAGACAATGTGAAATATCTCATTGGAAAAAGAACTGACCTGGAAAACAGATCGAGGAGAGATAATTAAAAAATTATTGGACTACCTGAATGCCATGATTTAAAAAGAGAGCCTAGACATCATCTTTCAAGAAATTATCAAGGAAAACTGCCGTGATATTCTAGAACTAGAGGGCAAAATAGAAATGGAAAGAATATACAAATCATATTCTGAAAAAGATCCCAAAATATAAACTGCCAAGAATACTATAGTCAAATTCTAGAATTCTTAGTTCAAGAAGAATATATTGCAAGAAGCCAGAAAAATAATTAAAGTATTGTGGAGTTACAGTCAGGATAATACAACATTTAGCAATTTCTACATTAAAGAATCAGAGGGCTTTGAATATGATATTTTTGGGGGCAGGGCAAATGGGCTAGGATTACAAACAAGAATCACCTACCCAGGAAAACTGAATATAACCCTTCCAGCAAAAAAAAAAAATAATAATATTCAATGAGATAGAGGACTTTCAAGCATTCTTGATGAAAAGAGCAGAGCTGAATGGAAAATCTGATTTTCAAATGTAAGACTCAAGAAAATCATAAAAAGGAAACAGAAAAAGGAAATCATAAGGGACTTAATAAGGATGATGTATAAAAAATAAAATTAAGGAGTGAGAGGAATGTGCTGGAAGAAAGCAAAAGAGAGAGGCTGAATAGGGTAAATTATCTCACTTAAAGAGGCAAGAAAAAAGCTTTTACAGTGGAGGGGCAAAAGGGGGAGGTGATGGGGAGTGAATGAACCTCACTCTCAAACGAATGAACCCTACTCTCGTAAGAGGGAATAACATACACATTCAATTAGGTATAGAAATCTATCTTACCCTACAGGAAAGTAGGAGGGAGAATTAATAAGAGAAGAGGGGCTGATAGAAGAGAGGGCAGATTTGGAAGAGGGGGTAGTCAGAATCAAAACAATTTTGAGGAGAGACAGGGTAAAAGGAGACAGAATAACATAAAGGGAAGACTAGGATGGAAGTACAGTCAGCACTAGTAACTGTGAAAAAAATCTTGAAGCAAATTTCTTTGGTAAAGACCTCATTTCTCAAACACATCGAGAACTGAGTCAAATTGATAAAAGTAAAAGCCATTCCCCAATTGATAACCGACAAAAAGATATCATCAGTTTTCAGATGAAGTAATCAAAGCTGCCTGTAGTCATATGAAAAAATACTCTAACTCACTATTTGTTGGAGAAATGCAAGTTAAAACAATTCTGAAGTACTACCTTATATCTACTAGATTGCCTAATAGGACAGTAAAGGAAAAGGAAAATGTTGGAGGGGATATAGGAAAAATGAGACACTAATGCATTGTTGGTGGAGTTGTGAACTGATTCAACCAGTTTGTAGAGAAATTTGTAACTATGCCCAAAGGGCTATAATCCCTTTGACCTAACGATACTACTACAAGATCTGTATCCCAAGAGAGATAAAATCAAAATGAAAAGGACTTATATGTACAAAAATATTTATAGCAGCTCTTTTCTGAGGGCAAAAATTGGAAATTGAGAGAATGCCTAGCAATTGAGGAATGGCTGAACAAGTTGTGGTATGTGATTACGATGGAATACTATTGTACTATAAGAAATGATGAGCAGGATGCTCTCAGAAAAACCTGGAAAGACTTCCATGGACAGTGATCAGCTGTGAATAACTTAGGTATTCTCAGCAATATGACAATCCAAGACAATTCTGAAGGACTTATGATGAAAAATGTTATCCATATCCAGAGAAAGAACTGATAGTGTCTGACTAGAGATGGAAAAAACCCTTTCTTTTTACTTTATTTTTCACGAGTTTTTTTTTTTTTTACGTGTGTGTTCTTTCACAACATGACTATTATGGCCATATTTCGCATGACTATATGTGTATAACCTATATCAAATTGCTTGCCTTCTCAGTGAGGGTGGGGTGGGGAGACAGAAAGAGAGAGAATGGGAAACTCAAAGTTTTAAAAACAAATGTTAAAATGTTTTTATGTGTAACTGGGGGAAAATAAAATACTAAATAAAAAAAGAAGATAAAAGAACATATTCTTTTTCCTCTAATCATCTTCGGAAATAAACCTAGGAGTGGTATTGCTGGGTCAAATGTATTTTCAGGAATGTACATATTGATAATGAGGTTGATGCACGGATTTCCAGAGCTAGTTCAGTGTATGGGAGGCTCCAAAGGAAAGTATGGGGGAGAAGAAGTGTTAGACTGACTACCAAACTGAAGGTCTACAGAACTGTTGTGCTGACCTCATCGCATGCCTGTGAAACCTGGACAGTATATCAGCGCCATGCCAGGAAACTGAATCACTTCCATTTGAGTCGTCTTAGGAAGATTCCAAAGATCACTTGGCAAGATAAGATACCAGACATTGAGGTCCTTTCTTGAACTAAACTACCAAGAGTCCAAACTCTACTGCAGAGAACACAACTCTGATGGGTTGGCTGTTAGAACGCAAAATGTATGCTTGCTAAAATACTATTTTATGGAGAACTCACACAGGGCAAGTACTTATATGACTGTCAGAAGAAGTGATAAAAGAACACTCTCAAGCTCTCTCTTAAGAACTTTGTAATTGATTATGTGACACAGGACACGCTGGCACAGGACTGCTCAGTATTGTGCAACCTCATCAGAGAAGGTACTGGGCTTTACTAGCAAAGCAGAATTGAAGTAGCTCAGAAGAAAGGCAAGATGAACAAATTTAGAGAAACCACCTCAAAAGCTCAAATGGACTATTTTGCCTGACATGTGGTAGAACATTCTGAGTTTGTATTCATCTAGTCACCTGCTGAATGGAACGTATGTCACTGAAATATGCCAACCAAGGGAGACAAGCTAGAAAACTAATTATAGAATCTCATAGGTGGAAGGGATCTTAGCCATCATCTTTTTCAAATATCTCAGTTTATTTATGAAACCCATAGAGGTGACTTGACTCCTCCAAATCTGTGTGGATTGTGCCAATATTAATGCCTATGTCTTTTGACTTTGGGTCTAGAGCTCTTTCTATTAAGCCATAATATTCAGTTCACATAATGAGTCAGTGATACAGAATAATACATGACAAACATACACCATTAAGAGAAATAACACACTTCAAAGGTGATTATCACAGTTATGAGCTCAGAAAAAGGCAGAATAGTGTAGCAGAAATGGTGCTGCTCTTGAAGTCCAGAAGTCTTGGGGTCGAGTCCTATTTCCAAATACCGGATCTGTAACTCAGAGAAAATCAATTTATCCCTCTGTGCCCCACAGAATTTTCTAAGACAGAAGTTCTTAACCTTTTTTATGCCATGGCATTCTTAGAAGATTATGAACCCCTTCTCAGAATATCATTTTTTATTTAAAAATGAAGGAAATACTAAATTTAAGGTAAAATTAGTAAAAATAATGATATGCTTTTATGCATCCAAATTTTTGGACCCTCTGAAATCCTCCCACAAACCTACTTGGAGATTTGTGGACCCCAAGCTAAGAATCACTGCTCTTAGACTCTACTTTGCAGACAAGACACCTCTACCTGCATTGGTAAATAAGAATAGCTGGCATTTATATTGTTCTTTGAATTTCACAAAGCATTTTACAAATATTGTCTTATTTGATCCTTCCCTTAGATGGTAGATGGTATTGTTTCCATTTTATGCCTCAGGAAAGTGACACAAGCAGAAGTCGAGTGATTTCCCCAGGGTCACTTTGCTAGTAAAGGTCTGAGGTCAGATTTGAACTTGTCTTCCAGATTTCTTGCTATCTCCAAAGGTCAGGGTAAAGATCTGAGAAAGATTTACTATCCTAGTGAAATCACAATCCCATTTGTAGGAATAAAACAAAAAAAAACTTTAAATGCTCATATAGTGAAGTCTCACGTCTGACGGTGGAGATATGTTTGATTATGTAAAGAAATGAATTGCACAAGAGGAAAATGAGGCAACAGAGGCTTTTCCATGAAAGCAGATCACTTGGTTTATGACTGAGTCCCTCAGGGATTAGGACTGGGGTTATTTTCATTTTTTGGTAATAAAGCATCTAAAAGTATTTTACTTCAGTGAATCCTCTTTAACAAATGATATCCTGACATCAACCCAGTAGAAACTGGTTCTAGAACACTTTGCTTTATTAGGTCATACATTATGTGAATCACAATATGAGCCACTACCAACCAAATGTGGTGCACCAATTACAGACCAGGCAAGAGGCAGTAGGGTTTCTTAAATACATGTTAAAGCCAGGCACAATGCTAAGTTCTGGGAATACAAAGAAGGACAAGAGTTCCTATGTTCAAGGGGTTCACCTTTTAATAAGGAACACAATATGTGAATAGTAAGGTAATGAGAAGATATGTAGAGTAGAAGGAAGGTAGTCTCAGAGAGGAGGTCACTAGCAGTAACTCCTCTTGTACAAGATAGGATCTGAGGGAATTCTTTTCATCTTCAGATGTGGACCACTGCATGAGGTGCCCAGAAGATGAATACCCAAATAAGGATAGAGATCACTGCTTCCCAAAGGCTGTGACCTTCCTGGATATTGCAGAACCTGTGGGGATAACACTAGCATTTAGAGCTGTTTCTTTCTCTCTCCTGACAACTCTGGTTCTCTGGGTTTTTGTAAAATTTCAAGACGCTCCCATAGTCAAGGCCAATAACTGGGCTCTCAGCTATACTCTCCTCATCTCCTTCACCTTCTCTTTTCTCTGCTCCTTGCTCTTCATTGGCTGTCCCACTGCAACCACCTGCCTCCTCAGACAAACAACTTTCAGAGTTATCTTCACTGTGGCTGTGTCCTGCGTTTTGGCAAAAACCATTATGGTGGTTCTGGCCTTCAGGGTCACAAGACCAGGGAGTAGAATCAGAATATGGGTACAATCTAGGGTGTCCAACTCTGTTGTCCTCACCTGCTCAGCCATTCAAGTGATTCTCTGTGGCATCTGGCTCGGAACTTCTCCTCCCTTCCCAGATATGGACCCACACTCTGAACCTGGTCACATCATCATTCAATGTAATGAGGGCTCTGATATTGCCTTCTACTGTGTCCTGGGCTACATGAGCTTCCTAGCCCTAGGGAGCTTCACTGTGGCTTTCCTGGCCAGAAGCCTGCCTGACAGCTTCAATGAAGCCAAGTTCATCACATTCAGTATGGTGGTGTTCTGCAGTGTGTGGGTCTCCTTCCTTCCCACATACCAGAGCACCAAGGGCAAGGCCATGGTGGTTGTAGAGATCTCCATCCTTGCCTCCAGTGCTGGGTTACTATGCTGCATCTTTATTCCCACATGTTATGTGATCCTACTGAGGCCAGAAAGAAATACCCAAGAAGGGATAAAGAAAAAAGTGGATTCTAAGGGTTGAAATTATTCTAGGACATTGTTTCACTATTCTTGCCAGAAGCATAAAAGTTTCAATAATAACATACATCAGCATGTGATGCCTATGATTCGCCATCTCATTGAGATTTGAATTTCAGCTCATTGTTTTTCCAATTTCCCACATGTTTTCAGGGAATGCAGCTTTGTATTTGTAAATGTTTAACAATGGGCTTCCTAAAAATATGCCACAAACTTTAAAAAAAATTTAATCTGTCTCATTAACAGTTTCTCCATCACTTCTTTAAGTCTAGAAATCACCAAAACAATATATCAAGCCCTGTTGGCAGCATTTTCCAATTTCAAGGTGTAATTGCTCTCACTGAAAATTTAACAATTAACTCTCTGGAGCTGGTAGGAACTTATTTTAGCAGAAATGTAGCAGTGCCAACACTTTTTAGGGTCCCACACATAATGTTCTTGAAGCCACAACTGATATTTTGGATTATCTTGAAAGTCTATGGCAACATCACATTTCCATACTATTCTCTTTGTCAAATGCAATCTATACTCTGACATTTGGATCAGTGAATCACCCTCTTTTATCTTCACTTAAAGTCCAATGCTCTATATTTTTCATTGTACTGTTCAGTAGATTTTTTTATCAATGATTTGGATACATGCAAAGGAGACACCTTAATCAGTTTTGCAGATAACACAAAACCAAGTAAGACAGCTAATAAACTCAATGACAGAGTCCTCAGGTTGCCAAAATCTTTCTATTGGATAGAATGTTAGGCACAATTGATCAAATGAAATTTAACAGTGATAAAAGTAAGGTATTACATATTTGTTCAAAAATCAACTTCACAAATATCTTATGGGAGAGATACCAGTACACAGCAGTTCATTTGAAAAAAAAATCCAGCACAATGTTTGTGAGATGGAAAGGAATATCACTAATGGAAAAACAGATCTCTATGGGACAATTTTATTATGTAATAGCCTGGCAAGCTAATGTGTCCTAAGGCTACATTAAGAGTCATATATCTACTATTGAATTGAAAAATGCAAATTTAAAAACTGTGAGGCACCACATCACACCTATAAGAATTGGCTAATATGACAAAAAAGGAAAATGAACAATATCGGAAGGGATGCATAAAAACTAGGACACTAATGCATTGTTGGTGGAGTTGTGAACTGATCCCACCACTCTGGAGAACAATTTGTAGCTATGCTAAAAAGCTGTAAAACTATGCATACCTTTGATCCGGCAACACTACTGCTAGGTCTATATCTCAAATACATCAAAAAAGGGGGGAGGACCTATTGGTACAAAAATATTTATAGCAGCTCTTTTTGTGGTGGTTAAGAATTGGAAGTTGAAAGGATGCCCATCAATTGAAGAATGGCCAAATAAGCTGTGGTATAGGATTGTGGTGGAATATTATTGTGCTTAAAGAAATTACAAGCAAGCCTATTTACAGAAAAGCCTGGAAAGATTTAAGTGAACTAATGCAAAGTGAAGTGAGCAGAACCAGGAGAATGCTGTACACAGTAACAGCAATATTGTATGGTGAAGAACTGTGAAAGACTGCTGTTCTCGGCAACAAATGATCCAAGACAATCCCAAAGTACTCACGATGAAGCATACAATCCACCTCCAACAAAAAACCGACCATGTCTAAATACAGATTGAAGCATGCTATTTTTCACCTTTTTTCCTTCTTTCTAATTCTAGTCTTCTTACACAAAATGACTAATGTGCAAATATTTTACATGATTGCACATACATAAACTGTATTGGATTGCTTACCATCTCAAGAAGGGGCAGTGAGAAAGGAAATTTGGAACTCAAAACTTTTTTTAAATGTTAAAAAAAATTGTTTTAACATGTAACTGGGAAAAAATAAAATATTGTTTTTCTAAAAGTTATATGTCTAGTAACAGCAAGTGACAGAACCATCATACTGTACCTTATCCTAATATATCTGGTTCATTGTGTTCAATCTGGAACACCACATTCAAGGAAATGCATTGATCAACTGCAGAGCACTAAGAATACAACTAGCATGTCAAAGGAACTTCAGTTCATGCCACGTGAGGGTGGAAGGAGAGATAAATACATGGAAAAATAGATCAAGGAAGGAAGGAAGGAAGGAAGGAAGGGGAAGGAGGGAGGGAGGGAAGGAAAAAGAGGAAAGAGGACATTAAGAACTTAACACTTTTCCAAGTATTGTGTTAATTGCTGGGGGTATAAATACAAGCCAACAAGAGAGTCCCTGACTTCAAGGTGCTTACCTTTTAACAAAAGAAAAAAACTGTGAAGTTCAGGGGGATATTCTTCCTGGGGAAAGGTTGCTGGAGCAAGGCTTCTGTCAAGAAATGGAATGATCCAGGAGAGTGTTTTGACCTGGGAGTGAAGGGTCCATCATTTGGGCTATTCATGACAGAGTCGAATCTGCTAGAGACTTGTCCATCAGAAGAGTAAACTTCAGGGAGGACATCTTGAATGGACAAAGGAATTGCTGAAGTGGAAAGCAAAGAGATAGACTCTATGAGGGGAAAATGAGTGGGGAGTGTGTTTCAGGCTTGAAGAAAACCCAGTGCAAAAATATAGGTGTAAGAGATGTAGTGGGTTGTGTGTACGCATGTGTGGGTGTGGGTGTGCACATGCATGTGTGCATGTTTGGGCTTTAAAATTATTCAACCTACAATAAAAGAGACAGAAGTAGAGCTCTGAACCAATGGCACTTCATTTAAGGGTCCTTGGTCCCTTCTAATGAAGTAAACTTCAGATGTTCCTTATGATCTGAGATTCCCCTTTCTTCCAGGATCTAGTTTTCATAGTGTTTGATTCCTAAATACGCAAAAGAGGCATGGTAAAACAAACAAACAAACAAACAAACAAACAGAATTTCATTAGTTGATAGACCTTGCTCTTGAGGGCCAAAAATGACATATCAGCAGGGGGTCATAGGTTGGGTGAAGCATGGGGCATCCCCACTGACTAAATAGTCATAAGATGGTCACTTGCTCGTGTTGGACAAGAGCAAATGGTCTAGAGACACAAAAATAAATTACAGGACTTTCCATGTAATGGAGTCACTAAGCCACACTGGATTTGGTCACCATGAAAAGGAAAAACAAGAGTTAAGGGCCTCTAGTCAGCTTTCTGTGATTAAGCATGTGATCTTATAATCAGCAGCTCACAGTCATGGGGTCTAATATGGAGAACTTGCAATCATATCAAATTGATTGACAATGATTAAATTAGAGGAAAGATCTCAATGAATTATTTCTTACATCCTCTCCTCTTCAATACACAGAAAGACCCATCTTTCTTTGGATTGTTACAATCTAAATGGAGGGCTTCCCTCCATGAGTGACACAAAACCAGAAAGAGGCAGTCCCCTTACTTAGGTACAAAGGTGACATTAGAGAAGAGGGAAATTGGACAACTTATACTGATTTTGTGTCATTTCATTAAACATTAACTCATTAAATATCTGAGGTGACTCTGTCACTGACCAAGAACCATGAGGGACAGGTACCTCCTAGTAAAACATGCCCTAAAAGATAGGTAAATCAGAGGACCATAAAGCATTTGTCCAGGAACAGCAGCACAAGCATTGTTTGCCCTACACACAGGTTCTGGAAATCTTTTAAATTTATGAAAACAATTCAAGCAATTTTGACAAAGAGCCCTCCCATTATGGGGATGAGAGGCAACATCCCTGCACACAGCATAAGGAGTGGAGGAATATAAGGGATAGATTGAGTCCCATGAACAAAGGAATTAATCATTGCATTGGTGGTGAAGTAAAAGCCAAATCCAGTGACTGAAAAGGAGGATTTGAGGTTCCAGTTACTGCAGGCTCAGGAACAGGTGGATTAGGAATCATTTGTGGAGGGGGTGATGATGACGAAGGTGTCATGTTTACTCATCCCATCTCATACAGCTGTCCAGTCTGTGAAGTATCCTGTAATGCAGTCCAGTGGTCCTCTGGTGATCTCTCCTCTTAGGGATACTGGAATGAGTGGGGCTTCAGAGTAGCTTCTAGTGAATTTGCTTCTCCAGTTCAGGCCCCTTGGAGAAATCCCTTCTCTATTAAAAATATCTGACAAAATAGATCTTAATACAATTCTAGTTTGCTATCACAACAACCAGGTCAGGAAGTGAGACCTAGCTCAAACCTTAATAGCACTTATATGAACATCACTAGAACAGAGAATTTACATTTTTAGTTTGGCAAATTCAAATAAGAATTGAAAAGTGAAAAAAAATCTGAACTTTTAGATTTAGCATATGCTGCTTACTATATAACCTCACATAAGTTGCTTTCATGCTATGGGCCTAAATCTTCCTATCTTTAAAATGGAGATGAGAATGTTAGACTACTTTTAAGTTCCTTTCCTATTCTAAACCCCAAGATTCTATGACCTAGGGAGAAAATGTTCATCCCCTGAGTTTGTGAATATGGCTTTACTGAGGCAGTGGTGTGTCTCCAAGGCTGGTCTTTGCAGAGGGAAATTTTATTTGATACAAGTTGGACTAGGCAAGTGCCATCTCTATAAACTTGAGCATGGTAAGAGCCATATCCAAATATAGGACTTACAGAGTGATTACTCTGGATTTGGGGTAGAGAAGCCCAGGTACACATGATCTCTTGCTCAAAGAACATGGTGGACTTGTGGCCACATGTGGTCAGTTCTCTGTGCTTTCAAAACTGAAAGTGTTTGGTATTGTCTGTTCACATTGAGTCCTATCTGGCACAGCCAGATCAAGGATGCCCTACAACAGTCTCCTCCTCGAAGTAGCAATATGGACATGCCACAGAGTCCCTGCAGCCCTGTTATCACACAGAAACACACACAAGTAGCCCATGTTGACAAAGGGTCACTGAGACTCCAAAGTTTCGCCCATTCTGTGAGCTCTGCTGGGAAATGGTAAGGAGAGGTCAAAACATGTTATTCCATTTCTATTTTTCCCTTGGATACAGAGACACAGCTGGAGATGCTTCAAGCAAGGAGAGTCCCCAGAGCTCTTGATCCTAAGTGTCTACGCCAGCTAGACAGGATGTGGGGTTTGAAAGGAGCGGTTCCTTCCTTACTTAACTGTAAAAGTATTGAGAGTCACAGTGCTCTCGAATAACCACAGGAGTCTTATAAATTAAGCTCATGGTCTTACACCATTATCCTTGTCCTGGATTAGGGTCTGACTCAGGTTCATGTGTGTTTCCTCAGTTGTGGATGGAGTACTCGAGTGTACATCAGCAATATTTCAGTTGCTGGACAGCTCCCTACCAGTCAATAACCCAAGCAGTTGACTTTGCTTTGGTCGAGGAAGCTCCTCGGCTCCTTCCAGGTTTGGGGCTTTGGCTGATGGTCAGGGAGATGTTGCTTCTCATTCAGAGAGACACATCCTGGATGCTTTCTACCCTGGCCTTGACACTGCTCCTGCAGCTTCCTGCTTCAGGGTGCAGGAGTGAGAAGCTCTTCTGCTTTCCCAAAGTCAGCCCTAGCCTCACCAGAGATGGGGACCTGGTGATTGGAAGCTTTCTGCCTCTGTATTCAGTGAGAGTGAGTAGTTTTGCAAGAGCAACAGTTTTTACAAGTCAGCCCAACAGGGACTGCAGGAGTTATCAGTAAGTACCTCTCTGTATGAAGGAGTTAATTTTAATTGAGTTGACTTTTCAAAACATTCTCTTTTTAAAGAAAGGGAAACAGGGAAGCCCCAGTTGCTACACCCAGTGATACTCCAATCCTTCCCTCCTCTCCCCTACTTTTGTTTTTGCAAATCAATTTTCATCTCTCTGATTGTCTTACAAAGCTGAAGATAGATAATATTCTTTCTTTTTTGTCTCTCCATCTCTATCTTTCTCTGTTTTTCTGTCTCTATCACTGTCTCTTTTGTTTTTGTTTCTGTCTGTTTCTCTCCGGCTATGTTTCTGTTTCTGTCTCTATAATTTTTTTTTCTTTACCTCTGTCTCTTTGTCTTACTCTCTTATACTTCTTCCTTCCACAGGGGTTCTGTCCCTGAGAAGCTCCTGAGATAAGAGTTACTAGCATTCACTGTCATTTTTTCCTCCACTT